GGGCGTGTGACGGTGTGACGTAGAAATTCTCAACCCTGAATCCTCAACCCTGTAATCCCTGAACCCTAAAGCTATAAACCCTACTCTATCCCCTAAAGTCTATGAAACCTAAAACTCCCTATAACCCTAAACCCGATGCTTCAACAGGACCCGGCGGAGGATCCTCACAAACCCTAAACCCTAAACCCTAAACCCTCAACCCTGAACCCTAAACCCTAAACCCAAACCCTCAGCGGTGTCCTTTATCTCCGTGCCATCCGGGCCCTCTTTCCTCCGGACAAAGAGTGCGTGCTGGAAATTGCACACGCTTAGCGTTTCAGGGTTTATAAGGCTTTTGGAGCTTGGTATAGTTTAGTGATTAGTAGTTTAGGGTCTTGACGGTTTCTTGGGGGTTTGGGTGATAACCTTTATACAAAGGCTGAAAACAGATCTTATGGGCCGCGCACAGCTTGCAACACAAGCTTGCTGGCTGGCACCCGCCCACCCTTCGAAAAATGGACCTTCATTGCTGGGTTTAGGGTTGAAGGTGCAAGGATTCTTGATCAGATTGGGACATGTCTGGCCAACGGATATCGGATGCATGAACTAGAAGTGCGACGTAGAAGGCAAGCTGAATCCTGCACCTAGAACTAACCTAAGCCCCAAACCGCCCTAAGATCTATACCCCTAAGCCCTGAACCCACGAAGTACAACCGCCCTTACACCCGAAAACCCGAGACCACTCTCAGTGGGCACATGAGCACCGTAGGAACATTCATGAGCATCTTTAGGACAGTCGGCCACCCTCAGCCCTAAACCCCAAACCGCAGACCGCTGCCAAAGCCGTCGTTGTCTTCGGTTGTGGTGCAGTCTTCCCTAGCCATCCACTCCCCGAAACCCCGGAGCCCGACGCTCTAAGGGGCCTCCCTTGCAACCTGACTATTTCAGGGTTAAGGTTTAAAATGAGGTCTTAGCTGAATCGTGGTCTCTTTTTGGGTGCCGTCGTATGCTAGGAACCCCCTAAGGACGACATGAGAAATGCCCAGGTAATATGCCCAAAACCCCAAAAGCCAAAAGGCGTCAAGCCCATCAACGGCCTGCCATTTCGACAAAGACCCTTTCGCCCCGGAAAGGCGGTCAGGGTGGGGGAAGGCGGGTGGGTTTCAGGTTTAGATTTCGGGTTTAGGGTTTATATAGGGTTTAGGGTTTAGGGTTTCGGGTTTAGGGTTTAGAATTTAGGGTGTGTGTGTGGGGGGGGGGGGGGAGGGAGGCCCTCCAGAGTCCCGCCTGAGAATCAAAGGCTCTTTGCAGGTGACCCCGGCCTTTTTGGCCTGCCAGAAGGGCCACTGACGTTCCGAACCTCATCCTTATAAACCCTGAACGCAGACTAAACCCTAAACCCGAACTGAAGGCCTCCACTAAGGCCACTTATGATTGGATCCCTCAAGTGGGCTCAAGTCCAAGTGCAGCTTAGGGCTTGATATAGCCTCCTTAGAGTGGAGTGTTGTGTACAGTGTACTTGATACAGAGGGCTTTGGTGAGTTTTCGCAGGTTCTGAGCTGTGCTGGCCGGTTTTGGACGGTCCAGGTTTCGGGTGACCTGCAGCTGTTCTTGAACTGCAGCATCAGGGGCTTCCATATCTAAGGTAGGCATTGCTCCAAGCAACCTTCTGCATGTTCAGACAGGAACTTGACCTCGAAATAAGAATAAACTCTAAACCCTAAACCCTAAACCCTAAACCCTAAACCCCCTTTCTGGCAGCGGGCAGCTTTGGGGAGTATTTTAGCGGAGGCTCCCCCGAAGCCCGAGAGCCCGTCTGCACCTGTGGATGGTGCTCCGAGAAGAAATTGTACCGAAGCCCAAAGTGCCGGCAGATGGGCAGAGCCACCTGCATCGGGGGTTTAGGATTTAGGGTTTAGGGTTTAGGGTTTAGGGTTTAGGGTTTAGGGTTTAGGGTCAAACTCGAGCCTACCGGTGTGTGTTGGGCTTGACTTGGGTTTGACGATGCTGGGTAGAGAGCTTCTAAGGCAAGCTTAAATCAAGCTTTGGGGCGTTTCAGGATCGGTCTTCCAAGCAAGCCTTGGCTTTCAACCGCAATGGGCCGTTTACATGCAGGCGGGCAAGGGCAAGATTGAGGACCAGGCAGCCATCATCAATATTTTTGCTATTGCAATATCCAAACTTCTCAGTAGGACACTCAAACCCTGGCAAATGTACATAAGCTTAGGGTCTTATAGGGCTTGTAAAGAAAGAAGGCGCCCTCCACGCGCTTCTAAGAACATGCTGACAAGAGCATGCAGCGCCTTCAGGGCAACCTGACTGTCGCACTCGGCTACATATCAGAACTTACAAGGAGGGGCCCCTCTAGTTATAAGTAGAGTTCTAAGAGCACTAAATTGGGTTATTAGGATCCTAAATTAGGTTATAAGCCCCTTCACTACAGTTAGTATAGTAAGGGGGCCCCCTCCTTGCAGACGACGGAAAGGCATCCCACCTCCCCGCAAGCCAGTGCCCTTCAACTCTGAACTCTGCGCGTAGCTAACGGCCTTGCTGTTGAGCTCGTGCAGCGTTCGAACGACTTTGTCTCGATTCTTCAAGGGAACCTTCAAAGAAGCGAGCGCAGGGAGGACTTGGACCTTGACTTAATGCGTTCAGGTCTGCACCTGACTTCCGCATGATGAGCACCTTTTCAGGCAACATCCTGCTACCCCATATAGGCATTCTTACGCATATTATGCATTTTTTCGCCATCGAGAATATGCATGTGAGAAACCATGAGTTTCCGCTTTTTGAGATTTTACAATGAACCTCGAATCTGGACGACAGGTCCGAAGCTCCAGAAGCCTCCAACATCTCCGAAAGTTCAGGCCGGGTTTAGTGTTTAGGGTTTAGAGTTTCGGGTTTAGGGTTTAGCTAAGGTTTCCAAGATTCGGGTGCCTTCTGCCCCTCGCCGCTGCGCATTGAGCTAAAGGAGAAGTACCTTTGGGGGAATGAGGTGAAGGATGAAGCATCGCTTTGTGTTGGGCCGGAGAGCTCTGCAGAGTTGCGCAGGTCACAGCGTGTCATCACAGCGTGTTTGGAGCTGAGCACCACCCATTTTCCTCCTAGGGCCCCTGCTCTATTGTTGCCTCACGACTAGCATGCACGTGAGGCTTCTAGGCGTATAGTTTTGATTATTTCTTATGACGTAGGGAGGCTTCAGAAGACAGCAGCCCCAAAGGCAAGAAGAGAGGAGTCTGCAGTTCTGCGAGCCCTTCCCACGGCGAGGCATGCCCGCATCCATCCGAGATAAACTCGATCGTCCTACAAGTAATATAGGGGCCCTAGACAGTTGTACTGCAGTAGCCCCTCAAACCCCATTCTAAATATTAAGGCCCCTAAGATAAACATTTCAAGCTAAGCTTTGATATGAAAGTTTCAAAGGCCAGCGAAGTCTTGAATCAATTCTTGAATTTACGGCTTAGTTCAAGTTCAGGGTTTTGAACTATTTTGAGTTTGGGGTTTGGTGATGAAAGCGTTGGGGTGTAAAGTTTAGGGTTTACTCTTCAGCGAGGTGCAGAGCGCCCAGTCCGGAGTCGAACTCGGGCTCCTTCCCACCACAGGGGGGGGGGGGGGGGGGGGGGGGGGGGGAGCTTAAGGTTTAGGGTTGAGGGTTGAGGGTTCAGGGTTTAGGGTTTAGGGTTTAGGGCTGAGGGGCGGGAACCACAAGGACATGTGAGACAACGCAGTTTCAGCGAGGCGCTGCTTCGATCTGAGCTTCTCTCTAGGACATAGAAAGGGTGCCGTATTCTAGGGACCAAGTGGGAGCTTTGATTTAGAGAACTCTCAGCATACCAAATGCGCACGCCGGCCTCTTTCCAGATGGTCTTCGTCACCACGGCTCGACCTTGCATAGGCGCAAGGCGCACGTCCATGAAGTCTGTTTGGGGGTTTAGGGCTTTGGGCTTAGGGCTTAGGGCTTGAAGTTTAGGGTTTGAAGTTTAAGGTTTAGGGGACCTGACAGACGCGTTTGGGCTCATCATGTTCATGGGGCACAGGGCGAACACAAGTGGAATGACAAGGTTTAGGGTTTAGGGTTTAGGGTTTAGGGTTTTTGGTTTAGGGTTCAGGGTTTGGGGGTACTACGCAGCAACAGGACAAGTGAATGCAATGCCTTCGCCACCGGATAAAAGGATGCCTGGAGAATGGCGCCCACAGGCCTTTAAACCCTGCACCATGGGAGAACGCGTGAAGCCCTGAAAGCCGCTGGATCTAGGGAAGTTGCATGGTCCCTTAATAGGGGCCCTTGAATGGGGATCCTTTATAATTATACCCCTTATATACCCTATACGAACCAAGGGTCCATACATCAGAACCCACTAAAGAGGGTAAGGGGCCATTAGAGCTGAAACCATCACCAGAAGTCGAGCGGCTTCGCTGGCGCAGCTTTGGCGCTCGCGACCCAACCACTGCCAAGGAGAGCGTCTTGGCCTTGGCGCAGGTCTTTATTTCTTGATTGTCATGGCTTCTAGGGCTTTTTGGCTTGAAAGTTCAAGTTTAGGATGAAGAATGTTGAAGAAGGAAAGACATCCGGAGAAAACCTATAGAGGTGGGATGCGGGGTAAAGTTGCCGGGATCCACCCTGCACTCCTTAATCCAAAAGCCCGTTTGCTGAGCCTTCTCAGCGTCGCTTTGTGTCGCGTCGTCCTCGGTGGTCGGGCCGGCGAGCCTGCCAAAAAGGGTGTGTGTGTGTGGCTTTCTTTCAGCTGCTAAGCCAGGTGGTCTTGGCTTCGTCAATCTTGGCTATCGCCAAAAAGTTTCTTTACGATGTGCTTCAGGTGAGTGGGCTGCGGTTCAGTGAAGTGCGCTGGCCTGCACAAAAGGGCTAAGAGCAATGTCTTGAGTGGGCTTGTTCAAGGGCATCGTGGAGTTCTGGTTCTTGGCAAGGAGCTTACTGTTCAGGTACACGGCGCAGGATGTTGCATGAAGCTTTTTTACAGGATGGCGTGAGCAACGGAGCAGGTTGAAGCACATGCTCGGTGTTATTGCTGCAGCTGTGATCGTATGTCGGCACGAAGGAGCTGATTGCGCTCCTCTGCGCATTTGAGTAGGTGATCCTCTTGCAGTTGCTTCAGCTGCGCGAGCTGGCTTGGCGAGTTTGCCTGCGACTTCCACAACCGCGAACGTAGCTTCTTAATTTCGTAGGCACGCTCTGCTCCAGCGGACGTCAATCGCACGTAGCGGCTCTGATAGCCAACGCGCTTCGTCAACATGACGCGAATGTCATGAAACTTGATCGAACCCAAGTCCAAGCAGATCCTTGCTTGTAGGCGCTTCGCACGGAGACCTTCCATCAACAATCTGCTCAGGATTCTCTTGCTCTCAGATGTACGGTTAATCACGAGAGCGTAGTGCACTCGGCGATTGTAGATGACGCACGTGATCCCAGCGTCCAGGAAGAAGTCTCGGATCGCATGCAAGATTTGAGGAAACTTCTGTTCGATTTGCAGAACTATGCTGGCAGGGTACACAATCTTTATGTGCCCTTCGGCATCAAAGAACCCAGCCAAGTAGGACCAAGAGGGGCACACAGCTTTCGACGGTGCTACAGCCTTCAAGCTCTTGAGCTCGGCACGGCGTTGCAACTGGGATCGGACAAGAAGCAGCTGGTCGTACTTACAGGAGGAGCTTTGCCTCAGCAGTTCTGCAGCATGGCATGCACGTTCACCAAGCAAGCACCACCGCAGCACCACCTGCCTCATCCCCACTGTGTTGCCTTCTGCATAGATTCCGCCACCCAAAACATTGCGAAAGAGCAGAAGCACCTGGCTGCTGGATTCTGCTTGTGAAACCTTGAGCCGAAGGATGCCATTCTCCTCTATGACGCTTCCATCTCCGTCAAAAAAGCCAGCCAGATAGTCGAGCATGTGCGGAGGAACTGTGGTGAAGGATGGCCCAGTCTTCGAACGCAATGGCAAGTCATACCTCCTGCCACATGCAGTAAAATGTTTCGGCACCGGCCGGGTAAGACGCTGCTGCAGAGCGCGCAGCCGGTCGAAGCGCCGCCGCAGCTGTTCCAATGACAGCGATTTCGTGCTCGTCATCAGTTCGCCCTTGCTTCAGAGGATCCTTGTCAAGATGTCTTGTCCTGCCACACCCTCTGCCAATACTATCGGAAGTCGTCGTTCGCTTCCAGCTTCTTTTTTCCCCCTCGGGCTCTCGCAGACATGTTCGCTGAGAATAAATCGGCAAGAACCTCTACGCCGTTTGCATGCCCTATGGTCGCTAATGTGCTGTGTTCAGTTGCACAGACAACACCATCATGAATGCGCTCCGTGAGGGAAGACAGCCTTCAGTTCAAAGATTACTTGTGGACGTACGAGGCCTAGCTCCATCAAACCTCGCGCTGCCTGAAGCCTGCATACGGAAGCCCATGCGTAGATTGTGAACACTATTCTCTACACGCCAGCCTGACTTCGACTCGTGCTTATCTAGCCTGCACTTTCTTCAGCTGCCTGGCTGACGCCAACGCCCGAAGCCCGAAGCCCGAAGCCCGAAACCCGAAACCCGAAACCCGAACCCTAAACCCTAAACCCTGAAAGACCTAAACCCCAAAAGCCCTAAGCCCTATAAGCCCTATAAGCCCTAAACCCTAAACCCTAAACCCGTCACTCCTGCCTACAAAAGGCCCCAAAAAAAACCCTCGGAGTGGCCTGGGCCGCACCTTCGCGGCGCTCGGCTCGGCAGCGCTCCGCGCGCGGCGCACCCGGCGGGGTCGGGGCGGCGGGGCCTCGGCTTCGGGATCTTTCCGGGTTTGGGGTTTAGGAGGTTGAGGGTTTCGGGTTTTTGGGGTTTAGGGTTTAGGGTTTGGGGTTTAGGGTTTAGGGTTTAGGGGTTTAGGGGTTTAGGAGGTTGAGGGTTTAGGGTTTAGGGTTTGGGGTTTAGGGTTTGGGGTTCAGGGTTTAGGGTTCGGGGTTTAGGGTTTTAGTGTTTTGGGGTTTAGGGTTTAGGGTTTTGGGGTTTTGAGGGTTTAGGGTTTAGGATTTGGTGTTTTAGGGTCTGGGGATTAGGGTGTAGCCTCGGCTTCGGGAGTCTTTCGGGTTGTTTTTTTTTTTTTTGTTTTCTGGTCTAGGGTGTAGGGTTTAGGGTTTAGCTTCTTAGGGTCTAGGGTTTAGGGTTTAGAGTTTGAGTTGTTGGGGAACTAGGTTTTGGGTGTGCAGGGTGAGCGTCACCACGGCTTGTAGGATCTGGGGTTGTAGGGCCTTGTGCATAGTACTCAACCCTTATAAGCCCTAACCGTAGGCAGCCCTAAACCTGATTTCCAAGAGACAGGGAGGAAGGGAGAGAGAGAGAGAGAGAGAGCGAGCAGGAGAGAGAGAGAGAGAGAGAGATGTACATATATATATATATAGATATATTATATAGAGTGTTTATGTATTTGTCTATACATCTATATATATATGTATATATATATATATATTTTATTTTTATATGTATAGATATGCGAGCTCTGAGGCCAGAGCCGGCACCGGCTCCTCCGCGGCGGAGGTCTCCGCACCCGCATCGGTCTTCTCCTTACGTCTTAAACCGAAACCCTAAACCCTAAACCCTAAACCCCATAAACCCTAAACCCTCAGTTCTAAACCCTACACCCTAAACCCGTAAACCCTAATTAAACCCTAACCCCTAAACCCGATACTCTGGGGTTAATAAGGGGCTGGGAAGTTACTATAAAGGATTGCTGTAAGGTGTGAAGGAGTTCCTAAGAGCTAGGCTAGGATCAATCAAAGTGCTGCCAGGGACCTGGTTAGCTTGACCAGAACCCTTAAGGATACAACAACATGGTTCCTGAAGTAAAGGGTTGATTCGCATTAGAGCTCTTAACCTGCCGAATTCAAAGCTGTTTGAAAGGGGGGTTCCCCCATCCAACTGTGAACTTGACATCAGGCTGCCCACAAAGGGAGGAAATGGCGACAATTAAGTGTTCCGTTCTGGGTGCCTGTATTCTACGGAGAATCTGCTAACGTTTGGAGATATTTTCTTGGGGGGGGGGGGGGGTGTGGGGGACCCTTTTCGAAACCTCTAAGGATGTCGACTGAAAGCTTGGTCACATTAGTAATTATTCCGACCCCCTGTATCAAATTGAGTGTCACCCTAAACCCTAAACCCTAAACCCTAAACCCTAAACCCTAAACCCTAAACCCTAAACCCTAAACCCTAAACCCTAAACCCTAAACCCTAAACCCCCACAGCTTACTAAGGCCAGCGTCTGCTTCTGTTTCGCCATCTGCTTCTGCAGCAGAGTCGGCTCCCTGAGGGACGGGCCACTCGGTTCGAGTTTTGCGAAGGTAGGGTTTAGGGTTTAGGGTTTAGGGTTTAGGGTTTAGGGTTTAGGGGTAGGGTTTAGGGTTTAGGGTTTAGGGTTTAGGGTTTAGGGTTTAGGGTTTAGGGTTTAGGGTTTAGGGTTTAGGGTTTAGGGTTTAGGGTTTAGGGTTTAGGGTTTAGGGTTTAGGGTTTAGGGGTTAGGGGTTGGGGTTTAGGGTTTAGGCCCAACGTCTTGACTACGTGGAGACATCTCTCCGAGCTCGACAGACAAGAGCACCGGGGGCTCGTGGCAGAAGTTCTTGTTCCTGACTCTGGACGCACTTTCTCCTCAGAAAAACAAACATGCAACCCAAAACCCAAAACACAAACCTGCAAACCCTAAACCCTCAACCCTGCACCCTACACCCCAAACCCCAAACCCAAGCCCGTTGCGGGCCTCAACCCGCAAAGGCTTCCGCTTTGGGAAGCGGCCGAGCAGCAGCCTGGAAAGACAAGGCAGGCCCAAAAGGAGGTTCACTTCGTGATGAAGCTCAGGTTTGGCTCTAGGGCTTGTTTAGGATTTAGGGTGTACAAACCAGCCGGACATGTAGGAGGACCCCCCCTGACTAGCCTTCACGTGGCCCTATGTTGCAGGGACACGTACTTTGGGAGGTGGCGGGTTCGGGCTAAACCCTAAACCCTAAACCCTGAACCCTAAACCCTAAACCCTAAACCCTGAACCCTGAACCCTGAACCCTGAAACCCTAAACCCTAAACCCTAATTAAACCCCAAACCCCAAACCTAGAAGGTCTGCCAGGAGACTGCTTGGTGAAGCGATCCTTGAGGGGCGGCCGCTCGCCTGCAGTGGGGTGACCCAGATGTCTAAGGGTAGTTACATGGTCTCTTGGGTTTAGGGTTTAGGGTTTAGGGTTTAGGGTTTAGGGTTTAGGGTCTAGGGTTTAGGGTTTAGGGTTTAGGGTAGTTTCATGGTCCCCCTAGTATGGGCCCTTAAAAGGGGACCACTTATCTACCCCTTATATGCCCTCTACAAAGTAAGGGCCCATGCATCAGAACCCTTTAAAGGAGGTTAGGGACCACATTAAGGGCACATATAACTATCCTTAGACCCTAAACCCTAAACCCTGAACCCTAAACCCTAAACCCTAAACCCTATGCCCATGGTAAGCCGTGCAGGCCAAGCTGCTCAGGGTCTGTACCGCTTGAGGAGGCGTCACCGCCTGCGAACGCTTAGGAGGTTGAGGGCTTCGGGGCGGCTTTTTTTCGGGTGTGGGATGTAGGGCTTAGGCGTTAGGGAGTTTGGGGCTTTTTGGGTGTGTAGGATGATAGGGCTTGGGTTCAGGGGTTTGGGGGCGAAATATGTAGGGTTTAGGGAGGGTTTAGGGAGCCATTCCAAGTAAAATATCTAGAGCGGTGGAGGGGGAGGGCTGGAATGGCCCAGGGGCGCGACTGATGGGCTTTTGTGGCTTGGCCATGGTATCCTCCCGTTGGTGGAGCCAGGTGCGGAGAGGTCAGGGGACCATCGGAGTTGGCTTTGGATTTGTAGGGTTTTTGGCTGAGGGTACTTGAAGTCCCTATAAGTCCCTGAGGAACACACGCACCCCAAACACGAGGACTGTAAATCGACAGGTCTTTTTCCTATACTCACGCCGCGAAACGACGGACATGCCTGCAAAACATCCTGGGGACATCCGTGCTCATTCCCCCCCCCACCCACCAACATCTCTGGTTTCAGGACAAGCTTTACTGAGCTCTTGTTCAGGAACTTGTGCTTAAGTTACCAGAAACTGGATATGTGGTACCTAGTATGTCTTCTTCTTGTGCTAACTTACATTTTAGGCTCCAGAACAAGAGCTCAGTTAAGGCCTAGTTTTTGGGAACTCGAAACCAAAAAACCTTGAGCCCAAAACCCGGAACCCTGGACCCTGTAGACCCCACTTGGAGGTTCAGGGTACTTAACAACCCAATCCTATCTGTACTTTTAAGCCAGTTATAAGCCCCTTAAGTGCCCTAATGTGGTTATACTTGGCCATAGAATTCGGTTCTTTAGCACCCTGAACCTCCAAGAATGGGCCCTAAACCCTAAACCCTAAACCCTAAACCCTAAATGTTAAACCCGAAACCCTAAACCTTATACCCTAAACCCTAAACCCTAAACCCTAAACCCTAAACCCTAAACCCTAAACCTTCATGGTGCCCTGAACAGCTAGCCTCTTTCTCCGGCCGCGGCCCGGTCGGGTGCGGGAAGCGGGGCACTGGAGGCTTCCTGGGGGGAAGCAAAGAAACACAGGCAAAACCCCTCCAGACAGAACCCATAAACTGATGGTGCGATGGAAAGCAGTCGCCCTAAACCCTAAACCCTAAACCCTAAACCCAAAAACCAGCTTCCGGAAGCCGGAAGCCCAAGAAATTGCGGCAAGCCCCAATAAACATTGGGCCCCAAAAGCCCCCAAATGTACACTTTCAGTTCTATAGGAGATTATAGAATCCCAAAAAGTGTACTCACTCAGCTACTCAGACTATAGAGGTCGGAATAATTACTGGTCGTATTCCCTTATGGCCCCTTCGAATTTATACTAGAACAACCCCCAAAGCCCCATTCTAATTACTAGTAGAATTCCCTCATGGCCCCTTTGCAAGTATACCACTACAACCACCGAAACCTAGTCTAATTCTGCAGGCCCCTATATGAGCTTTCCTGTAGCTTTCTGCCTCGATCCCTCTCACATCGTCTAATGATTCGGATGTTCCCCCTTATACAACAGCTCCTTTATAGGGATTCTCGTATCCCCCTATTATCCCTCTGAAGGACTCTTAGTATAAGGGGGAACATCCCAATCTACTGATATCTTTCAAGCATCTTCTCTGCGGGAATGTCCACCACCACGGCAGTCTTGCTATGGCGCCGCTTCTTCCTCAGGAAACGCAGGCAAAAACAGAGATCAGGGTGCATGGTTCCTTACTTGGAGGATCGGGGCACTTGGTAATTAGAATTATAAGTACCTTAATTGGGCTAATTAGTAAGCTATGAAAAGTACAGTTTCCTTACTTATAACCCCACTTGCTAAGTCCCCTTACCCTTTCAGTAGTTACCCCAAGGACAGAAGAATCTTCATCAACAGCAACATCGCATGTGAAGATTTGGATCAGGATGGAAGAAGTCCTTCCATGCTTGAAGACTTTCGGTGCTTTAAGAGCCTGGTCCCGCAATTCGTAAACTTAGTTGTCCAGTATCCTGGGGGAAATGAAGGTTAACCTTTGGGATTATGAGGGGATTGTACTACCCCAAGAAGGTTAAAGGTTATCTACTCTACTACTAGGTAAACAACACTTCTTGAACGCAGTGCTTATTGAGTTGGCGGCACCATCTTCTCCACACATCTGCCCTTTCAACTTCACAGCCAGCAATTCACAAGTCATAAGCAACACTTATTATGATAACCCTATGCCCCAAGCCATCGCTCCAAAGCGGAATCACAGACTGGTAGCTACATCCCAACCGAACCATTGACGCGACATGCACATGGGGTAGTTCTAAATAAGTGTCCCCTTCATTTACGGAAATGCTGTCGTCCTCATTAAAAGAAGCCTCAATCAGGGCACTTCACATGGTGTAAATGCCTGTCAAGTGGCTTCTTCTTTTTCTTCTTCCGCTTCTTCTTCACGGTCCCATCAATCAGCAGAGGTGCTGTGGCCGCCATGAGCATGTCCTGTGTCAATCGTATTCAGGTTCAGATAGTTCGGACTTGGGCCTAGAGTCCTGAACTCTGCTGCAGTTTGGTTGCTGCCTTGACAAAGACATGCTTCCAGCGGTTGTGCGGAGTGCTGGAAGGCTTTCAGACGAAACCCCAAAGCATTTAGTCATTTGATCATGCGATCTTGCCCCAAAACCTCGGAAAACCCGAAGCACATTGTGCCAGCGCTTTGACAGCCCGAACTGGATTTAGGGTTTAGGGTTTAGGGTTAGGGTTTCGGGTTTAGGGTTTAGGGTGGGAACCTTCCGCTATTCGGGACGCCGTTGCTCCTCGTCTACCACGGGGGTCTGTCTGGACATAGGCCGCGGCGACTCGTCATCACCGTCACATTGGCCTACCAAGCCACGCCACATGAACAAAATCCGAGGAACCCCGAAACCCTAAACCCTAAACCCTAAACACACTTAGACTTACACACTCAACACCGAGGGTTCGTACAAGAATAGGCTATCCAAGAATTTTAACGTCCAATCCACTTCAACCCTAAGCCCAAGCTGGGTTGGCGCTTGAAGCCCTCTGAAGCCCAATGCAGGGGTATAAATACATATCCCGCGGGCCCTGAACCCTAAACCCTGAACCCTGAATCCTAAACCCTTTAAGCCCCAAAACACCCTAGAACCCTAGAACCCTAGAACCCTATAACCCTATGACCCTAAACCCTAAACCCCGAAGGGCCTGCGTCGTCCATGGTGGCCCCGGGCTGGTACTCGTCGGACTCATTCACCAGAATCTCCCGAAGGCCCGAACCTGAGGGGCTTAGGGTTTAGGGTTTAGGGTCTAGGGTTTAAAGTTTAGGGTTTAGGGTTTAGGGTTTCGGGGGTTCAGGAGGGTTCAGGGGGGTTCAGGGGGTTTAGGGCTTGGGGTGTAAGGTAAGGGGTCTCAAGGGCTAGGCTATTGCAGGGAGGGGGGGGCTTTGATGAGGGCTTAGGGCTTGCGCTGCTGTATGGACTTGGCAGGACCACGGTGCTCCGGAGAATCCCAAAAAGTAAACAAACTGCACCTGCCCTACTTTTGATGCTTGGGATGCTCACTGTCATGGTAGCAGTCTGCAAATCAGGGCAATGCTGGTAAGCACCTGCTTGTAAACGGAGAAAACTTGATCCGAACACCAAAATCTGAAACCCTAAACCCCAACCGTAAACCCTAGACCCTAAACCCTGAGCCCTAAACCCTAAACCCTAAACCCTAAACCCTAAACCCTGAACCCTAAGAGCTGAGAGCAAGGTGCCCTCATCCTCTTCGCCTTCCTCGTCCTCGTCCTCCTCCTCCTCCTCATCGTCGGCATCCGCACCCCTGGCCCACAGAGCAGTGAGATGAACCCTAAACCCTAAACCCTAAACCCTAAACCCTAAACCCTAAACCCTAAACCCTAAACCCTAAACCGCGAGTTGCCAAACATGCAGCCGGGGGTGCTCTTCGCCGAGGTCTTCGGCTTCCGCGGGTTCTCTCCTCAGCTTTCGGCATGCCGGGAACATGGGGAAGGGTTTAGGGTTTAGGGTTTAGGGTTTAGGGTTTGGGGTTTAGGGTTTAGGGTTTGGGGTTTGGGGTTTGGGGTTTGGGGTTTGGGGTTTAGGGTTTAGGGTTTGGGCTTTGGGGTTTAGGGCTTGGAGTTGGGGTTTGGGGTTTAGGGTTTAGGGTTTGGGGTTTGGGGCTTAGGGCACCAGCTCACTCCGGGTCTTTTGGGGGTTTGCTCCCCAAAAGAGGAAAGGGGGGCTCCCGGTGTTTTTCCAAAGAGGTTCCGTTGTGGCACTGCGGAGGGTTGCTTGTATATGAAAGGGTCCTACCCTCAAAGACCTTGGGGCCGGGAGGTCACATAGCATCCCAGTGTCCAGTCGTCCACCTCAGGACCATCCTGGCGAAGGTAGTTGTCAACATTAGGGTCCCTTTTTGGACACCCTAACTATTAGGCACCGTACTTTTTTAGGGACCCCCAAAGGGACCATTTAAGTTTGACAACCCATATACAAGTGCAATCTTCTCCCAGCATCTTGGGGGAGGCACGAAGATCTGGGGCCGAGGGTCCGAAAATAAAAGTGCGACTTGAAAGGAATCGCCCCCTCCTCGTCCTCTGCTTCATCATCGCCCTCCTCGTCTTCACCTGTCGCAAGCCATGATGACAACATTCCCCTTGACTAAACCTTGAGGCTGCGAGGCTGATGTGGGCGTGCACGGAAACTTCGGTTGCGAGCATGCTGCGCAGTGGAACGAATATGAAGCGCTAGTGACAGCAGCCCCGCGCGCAGGGCGACTGGTCACTCGGCAGGCTGCCGCACAATTTGGGATGCCAAGCACACACACACACAGACGGAAAGACTCCCAAATCCCCATAAAGCCCAACTCGTAAAAACCCTTAGAACCGAAGCCCTTGACTCTGGAGTCCAAAACCCCACAGCACCAAAACCAGAAACCCCCCACCCCTCCACCTCCCCCCCCTAAACCCTAAACCCTAAACCCTAAACCCTAAACCCTAAACCCTAAACCCTGAAACGAAAAGCAGGTCTAAGAGGCAAGCCTAGGGTCTCGAAGCCGTCATTCTCCATGCACTCCTGGGCATGGGACTGTGGGGGCTTTCAGGGCACTAAGGGTTTAGGGTTTAGGGTTTAGGGTTTAGGGTTTAGGGTTTAGGGTTTAGGGTTTCGGTTTTCGGGTTTAGGATCCTTTTTCAGGTTTTCAGAGGTTTGTGTGGGGGTTTGGGGCATTTTAGGGCAGCTTCGGTTTTCAGGATGAAGGTAAAGGCCCGTAAACCCTTATGGACCCTGACCTCTGAACCCTAAACCCTAGAACCCTACACTCTCAACCCTAGAACCCGAATCCCCCCACCCCCCCCCCCCCCCCCCCAAACCCAAACCCCAAACCCCAAAACCCTAAACCCGAAACCCGAAACCCTAAACCCTAAACCCTCACCTCCCCCCCCCCCCCCCCAGCACACGAAAAGGAAAAGCAGAGCTCTCGACCACCAAGGCAGCTCCGAGGGCAAAGGCCTCGGACAGGCAAGACGCTGGTAGGTGCACGTGAGGCAAGCTTTCGGGGTTTAGGGTTTAGGGTTTAGGGTTTAGGGTTTAGGGTTTAGGGTTTAGGGTTTAGGGTTTAGGTTTTGGGTTTAGGGTTGTTGTTCGGGTTTAGGGTTTTGGGGGCTTAATTTAAGGTTTATAGGGTTTAGTGCTTAGCGTCTAGGGCTCCGGGTTATTGCCCATAAAAAGGACACCCAACATATGGGCGAGCTGGCATCTTAAGGGCTGGACGTTGGTGTGTCACCACTGGATGCCACTGTGCACTGAGCAATATTGCTACGGAGCCAGGATGATGCGCGCTCACGCTAAACCTTAAACCCTAAACCCTAAAACACCGGATGGCCCTTTAAACCCTGTGAACAGAAATTCCAAAAACTTGTAGGACCAAGAAAAGGAAAATATGAGATATACCAAGAGGACCCTAAACCCTAAACCCCATTACCCTAGAACTGTAAACCCTAAACCCTAAACCCTAAACCCTAAACCCTAAACCCTAAACCCTAAACCCTAAACCCTAAACCCTAAACCCTAAACCCTAAACCCTAAACCCTAAACCCTAAACCCTAAACCCTAACCCTAACCCCTAAACCCTAAACCCTAAACCCTAAACCCTAAACCCTAAACCCTAAACCCTAAACCCTAAACCCTAAACCCTAAACCCTAAACCCTAAACCCTAAACCCTAACCCTAAACCCCAAACCCGAGCCCTACAAGTGAACCGCAGAGTTCCCGGCGTCACTGCTCAAGGCCAGCGTCGCTTCGGCGGCCGGCGGCGAGCCTCCGGTGCTAGGAGACGTAGGGTTTAGGGTTTAGGGTTTAGGGTTTAGGGTTTAGGGTTTAGGGTTTAGGGTTTAGGGTTTAGGGTTTAGGGTTTAGGGTTTAGGGTTCAAAGGTGTAGGGTTGCAGGATGGTTGCTTGTAGGGACTAGTGCTTAGGGCTTAGGTCCTGTAGGATTCAGGGTTGCAAATTATTCACAGCTTGAAGAAATTAGGGTTCTAAGCGGCTGCAGGCACCCTAAACCCTAAACCCTAAACCCTAAACCCTAAACCCTGAACCCTGAACCCTAAACCCTAAACCCTAAACCAGGCACTTGCTTGTCAAGGCCTCCGTTGGAGGTCTCCTCTGCATCGGCCAGCAAATCCTCCAGCTCCTGTAGGGCTTTGTGGTGGTTTCCGAGGTTAGGGGGTATGGGTCGGCGGGTGTAGGGTTTAGGGTTTAGGGCTTAGGGTTTAGGGTTCCGAAATTAGGGCTACCTTACTGGGGTCCCTTTTATAAGGGGATCCTACTACTCGGGGATCTATTTTAGGGGAACCTTCGTCTCGTAAACCCCTTTTGAGTTCAGGGCTTATCGTCGGAAATGCAGAGTTCAAGGTGCGAGGGGTTTCATTTGCACGATTTTCTCAATGCAAGCTTCACCCTCTACAGTTTTGGGTTTAAAGCTATGCAACTGACACCCGTGAACATGCACTGTGCTGTGCAGTATAGCAACATCTCATGTGGCCAAAACAACTCATGGCCTGTAACATGCGAATGCCTTTTACATTTCCTTAAAAATCCTCCCTCCCCCGCGCCATCTCTGAAATCTCAACTCGACCCTTCAACCTTAGCCCCGTAAGTTGCCAACTAAGGTTTTAGGGTGCTGCTCAACCCGTAGCCTCGCACCCCAAGCCCAAACCCGATGATAGGGTCCCAAGAGACCTCCCAAAGGTATAGGCTTCTTAAGGAAAGGGGGTTTCAAGGGGGGTATGTAACCCAAGGTTCCCTACTTCTCCCAACTACTCCCTAAGGCTCCCTAATCTTTAAGTTCCCTAGGTACCTAGCCCCCTTGAACACCCCTCCTTAAGAACCCTATAACACAAGGAATCCCATCCACGACTGACAGGGCGAACTAAGCCAAGTCCTCTGTCGGGCTCTTTTGCGGAGGGTACCCGGTTTTTGGCATTCCTACTACAAGAAAGAGCCTACAAAGACTCTGGGGGGATCCAAAAAAGTAGAATCCCGAAATAGTACCTTCTACTACTGTTGGGCCATTCTTAGGCACCCTTAAGGGATCGACTTGTTTGGATCTTCCTCCCAGGGGTCTGGGTAGCGAATGTGGATGAACAAAAGCTGCCCAAGCCCTCAACCCTCGCCTCAACCCTCAACCCGCAACCCTAAACCCTAAACTCTATCAACCCACACTTCCAACCCTGCACAGTGTCGAGATTAGAGGATTCTTACAGCAGGGGCGGGGGTTCAAGCGAGGCAGGTACCTAGGGAACCTTAGGGAAGCTTGGGGGAGCCTTCGGGAGTATAAGGGAACCTTGGGTTGCATACCCCCCTTGAACCCCCAAACCCTAAACCCTAAACCCTGAACCCTGAATCCTAAACCCTTAAATCCCTAAACCCTAAACCCTACACCCTAAACCCTAGATCCTACGCCTAAAGCCTAAAGCCTAAAGCCTAAAGCCTAAAGCCTAAAGCCTAAAGCCTAAAGCCTAAAGCCTAAAGCCTAAAGCCTAAAGCCTAAAGCCCAAAGCCTAAAGCCTAAAGCCTAAAGCCTAAAGCCTAAAGCCTAAAGCCTAAAGCCTAAAGCCTAAAGCCTAAAGCCTAAAGCCTAAAGCCCAAAGCCTAAAGCCTAAAGCCTAAAGCCTAAAGCCTAAAGCCTAAAGCCTAAAGCCTAAAGCCTAAAGCCTAAAGCCTAAAGCCTACACCTAAACCCTTCCCTTAAGAACGCTATACTGTGAGCTCAGGTCCCCGGGCCGACGTGTCTTGGAACGCGGGCCGCGGTGGAGCTGCGCAGAGGAACAGTTTTTGTTTTGTGTTTTTTGTTTTACTTGGAAGTTCATGGTACTTAGAGCCCAATCATAGCTGTACTTATAACCCACTTACAAGCCCTTTACGTGCCCTAACATGGCTATAATTGGGTTATTGAGTACGTACCATGAACCTCCAAGTACGGCTTGTGAACCGGTTTGGGGGTTTGGGGTTTCAGGTTTCGGGTCTGGGGTTTAGGGTTTAGGGCTTTTGAACTTTTCAGGGCTTTGGGGGTGTAGGGTGGTCGACTTTTGGTTTCAACAATTCCCAAAATAGAGGTGTCCCTGAATATGCCCCCAACATATGAAGGAACCCTTATTGCAAACCCCTATGTTACAATGTTGGGAACCACCCCAAAAAAGCCCAAACCCTACGCCCTAAGCCCTAAGCCCTAAACCCTAAACCCTAAACCCTAAACCCTAAACCCTAAACCCTAAACCCTAAGCCCTAAGCCCTAA